GATCCAATGACCAAGATTCTAGTCCTGGTTCTACCATTACTAGAACCAGAGAACTCCTGAGAATATCAGGAGTGTCTGGGTGGCTCAATCGGTTATGTGTCTGACTCCTGATCTCAGGGCCATAAATTCAAGACCCTCATTGGGCTCAGTGCTGGGAATGGAGCCTACTTAAAAAAATTTTTTGAGACCATCACTACTATTCTGGGTCTATTTCTTCATTGTAAAATGAAGACTAGGCGATAGGCATGTCCTCTCTAATCATAAAATTAGTCAAAGACTATAAGGAAAAAAATGAAACAATGTCATCTTCCCATATAGGCAGAAGTCTCCCAACTCTACTCTCCACCTAATCTGAAGGCTTAACACAAGGATTAATTGCTAATGTAGTATAAAATTCTAAACCAATGGTTTTCAGCTTTTTTTCCTGCCTCCCACCACTTGAGAGGCGAACACATTCCCACCACATCGCCCATCAGTAACAGCAACTCACTTCAACAGTAAGGGGTAGGAACTGTAAGTGTATGGAATCACTGTATAAAACTGTTATAGACAAACACGCTGCTATGACAGTAAAACTCAGAACACTACTCCCCCCAAAGACACACAAAATTTTTTAAGTGTAGCACTCTAAAAATATTACCAGGCCATAAGAAAACATCCACAATACGGGTTTTTTAAAAAGCAAGTTCAGGGGTGTGTGGGTGGCTCAGTCGGTTAGGCGTCCGACTTCGGCTCAGGTCATGATCTCACGGTCCGTGGGTTCAAGCCCTGTGTCGGGCTCTGTGCTGACAGCTCAGAGCCTGGAGCCTGTTTCAGATTCTGTGTCTCCCTCTTTCTCTGACCCTCCCCTGTTCATGCTCTCTCTCTGTCTCAAAAATAAATAAATGTTAAAAAAAAAAATTAAAAAAAAAAAAGCAAGTTCACTTTTATCTAATTCATATTTATCTAGGACATACTATGTATCAGGCACCATGGCAACCACTTTATGAATATTACTTAATCTAATCCTCTAAAATCCAATAAGGAATATATTATTCTTTGTACAGATAAGCAAACTAAGGCATAGACAAGTTATGTAACTTGCTAAGTTAGTAAGTGACAGAACTGGAAATCAAACTCTGTTTGAAGGCATGGATGGCTATAAAGCAGTAAGTCCAGAAGGTTGTCATATTTTTGGAAAGATTTTATACTATGTGTTTCCGTGTGTATATTATATACCTGTTTACGGAATTTTTAAAGTCTGAAAAGATATGTAGTATATAACTGTTAGTGGTTATGTAAAACAAACGGGATGGGGGATTGGAGCCACATGGGCCTATTTTCTACTACAGTGTTTGAAGTTTTTCAGAAACCATTACTACTTGTATAGTAAAATTTTTAAATGGCTTAAATTTAAAGATGCTGATAATATAAAGTTGTCCTAATGAAACAGACTTAATTCTAAATTATTAAGCATGAGTGGTAAGTTAAATCAAAATCCAAGACTACAACTTACGGGTTTGTAAAAATATAATCAGTGAAAACAAAATTTTTGCAGCTGTTATTCAAAACACACACACATACACATTACACAAAAGTGTCAATAGTAAAAGTGTTATTCCCTGTGAAACTGAAGAACAGAGCAGTATTATCATAAAAATTCTGTGAGTATTCCAGTAAATATAAGTAGAACAATATTTTAGGACTAAACCAGCTTACCCTCTAACTAATGTATTTTTAGATATTTAAGAGCAAGGCATATAATCTTCTTTATACCATAAATATTATTTGAACCATATGTTCACAAGCCTATTCTATGCTACAAGTTCTGAAGTCTCTCCTATCTTCAACTCGAATCCTCTGAAATCACTGGGGGAAAAGAGTTGGTAAAGTCACATAAAGACAGCAGGAACTGGGCCACAATGTAGTCCAGAAAAGAAGAAATCCAGCTATACTAATCAAATGCCAAAGGTGCCAGAGCAGTTTGAACACAGCCAAAATCATGGTCTGTCACACCCCATCACCCAATTCTGCTCATTCTGGGAGTGGGCATCGGGTTCCCAAGGAACAGAGAAATAGGAGAGTTCTCTTAAAAAGCAATGGGAGGTGCCAAGGGCCAAAGGAGTAAGCCAATGCAGAGTCTGGGAGACTAGGCAGAGGTCCAAATACTAGAGGGAGAGGAGGAGGAGGGAGGAAGGAGGGTGCAGAGGAGGAGGAGAAGATGATGATGGTGACGACGATGACCACCAAGCATGAGCATCAAATCCAAAGGGGAAAGAAGTGGCAGGGAGGGACTCAAGGCCAAGATCACAGAACAAAGAGTTCAGGGCCAAGGCAGGGAAAGCAATTATGAAGCAAAGCGTACCTTGGTCGCCTTTCCACTTTGCCCCATAAGAACCTTTTCTACCTTCCTCCTTCTGGCAGCTCTCTCCTGCTCACTCCCATTCTTATTCAAGACTAGCAATCCATTAATCTCTCCTGAATCATTAAATAAGTAAATTGTTTTCTGGTAAAGTCACGGTTCAGTATTTCTCATAATCCTTCTCTCCTGTTTAATGGCCCTGTGATAGATTAAAGATAGCCACAAATACTTTCACATTCCTTCCATCGAGAGGTAGGTCTATGTCCTCATTCTTTGAATTTGGCAGGCTCTGTAACTGCCCTGATCAACTGAATATAAGAGAAGAGACTCTGTATCCATTTACAAGTCCAGACCTTAAGAAACTGACAGCTTACTCTTGATATTACTTGGAATGCTCACTCTTAGAAAAGCCAGCCACCATCTAAGGAGTCTGATCATCCTGAGACCAACGTACTATGAGAAACCCACACCACATGGAGAGATATTGGAGAATATGATACCATGGGATCAGGGGTTGGGAAAAGGAGAGAGACTACGGAGCACAGAAGCACCAGACATGTGAATTAAGAAGCCATCTTGGAAGAAGACGGCTCCAGCCCTAGGTACTCCATAAGATGCAACACAAGCCAAGTTCCTCCTGAATTCCTGATTCACAAAATCATAAGCAACATAAAATGGCTGCTTTAAGCTATTAACATGTAGCTTTGTTATGCAGCAGTAGATAACCAGAAAACCACATCTAGAAAGAGAGCTATCAGTGATATAGCATCCATCACTCACACCTACCAAACTCACTGGAATGATTGACATTGTTTTTTTTTTTTTTTTTTCCAACGTTTTTTATTTATTTTTGGGATGGAGAGAGACAGAGCATGAACGGGGGAGGGGCAGAGAGAGAGGGAGACACAGAATCGGAAACGGGCTCCAGGCTCTGAGCCATCAGCCCAGAGCCTGACGCGGGGCTCGAACTCACGGACCGCGGTATCGTGACCTGGCTGAAGTCGGACGCTTAACCGACTGCGCCACCCAGGCGCCCCAATGATTGACATTGTTTAAGAGAAGCGAGGATGGGAACCTTCAAAAGGTTCTACCCATAGGAATCAAAATTATATAAAGGCTAGACTATCCTCTCTGCAATAGAGGTAGTAAGAGAGTAAAGACATGGTGGTCTATCATCAACTAAACTGCCATCATCTCTGGGACTGGCTCTTTCTATATCCTCTCAATATTTTAATAACTCAAATCCAGATGTGCTGTCACTACCATAAGACAACCTAACTCTTATTTGAGCACAAAAATCACTTCTAATGTTGCCCTATATTATAAAAACAAACTTCAAATTTCAAAAACACTATTCCCATAGCAACCCCAAATTCTGAATAAAGATTCTTATGGAAGTGTTACGGACACTTGCAAGAATTCCTTTTCTCTCCTTTAAAACTACAAAGCCTCGGGGCACCTGGGAAGCTTGGTCAGTTAAGGGTCCAACTTTCTTTTTTTTTTTTTTTT